GAGAGTCACGGGAAGCAGTGTTGAACATGACCCCATGTCCTAGTTATCTGCGAATGACTGGTCCGTCTGAAGTGGTGGCTGCCTGAATGCTTTAAGGGGACACCACTCTCCTTCCCAGCCTGTTCCCTCCGGGAAAAGAGCAGAGGACAGAGGCCCCCAGAAGCAGATTTGGGAACGGCAGAGAAGTTGCTTCCTGTGAACCGAGCAGAGACAGAGAAACCCTGTGTAAGGGCAGAGGGCGGAATCCCAGGGAGCTGCACCCGGGAGGGCTGTGGCTGTGGCTGTGGCTGTGGCTGTGGCTGTGTGCCTTCTCAGGTGGCTCCCCAACCCCAAGGCGGGGCACCACGGTTAACAACCATTTCCCACCTTGTAACGCGCTGTCTCTACCGAGAAGCCAGGCCGGGGAGCGTGACTCCCGACGGCGATGGCCTCGAGATGGTCTTCGGAATTCGACAGCAGGGACAAGCCAGTGGCACCCACGTTCACTTCCATTCGGCCCAGGTTTCTGCAGCTTCCCCGACGTTCGCCTTCTCCCACCTGCTTCAGAGTGAAGGGGCAGTCAGTTCGGCCACCATAATAAAACACGGCAGACTGGGTGGTTAGAAACAACGGACACTGATTCTCCCACAGTCCTGGAGGCTGGACGTCTGAGATCCAGGTGTGGGCAGGGCTGGTTCCTCCTGAGGCCTCTCTCCTGGGTTTGGAGACGCCGTCTTCTCCCTGTGTCCCCACAGGCTCGTCCCTCTGTGTGTGTCTGTGTCCTCATCTCCTGCTCTTATGGGATGTCTTAGTCCATCTCAGGCTGCTGTCACAGAATACCATAGACTGGGTGGCTTAGAAACAACAGACATTGATTCTCCCACAGTCCTGGAGGCTGGACGTCTGAGATCAGGGTATGGGCAGGGCTGGTTCCTCCTGAGGCCTCTCTCCTGGGCTTGGAGACGCCGTCTTCTCCCTGTGTCCCCACAGGCTCGTCCCTCTGTGTGTGTCTGTGTCCTCATCTCCTCTTCTTATGGGATGTCTCAGTCCATGTCAGGCTGCTGTCACAGAATACCATAGACTGGGTGGCTTA